TTCTAAGGTTAATTTTTAAATCGCACTTATATTAATTATAAGCACATTAGTTTAGATAAGATTAGGTTAAATAAAACCATAATTAAGATCTTGGTTAAAATTAAGAGTTAAATCAATTTAATATAGGGAAAATTATTTCCAAAAACCGTAATTTAAGGTGAGGTATGTAAGCCCAGAAAAAGAACTTAATATAATAGGTCTCTTTTGTTGTTGATGATTGTTGATTATCTTTTTTTTTTAGTCGCACGAATAGTAAATTATTTTTTAAGTATGTTTACTTAAAATGAAATCGTAGTTTAACTTGAAGTATTACAAATTACTTATCTTTTTCTGTAAATGGTAAGTATTTAGATATTTTTTATACCGCGCCACATATGTATAAAAAATATGGCAATTTGTGCATATAGAGCAGAGTAAATTTTGTACAGAAATTATAAAGTCATGTCTGAAGACATCGTCGTTCGAACATAGGTTGTAGTACGGTGAATGCCAGAAGAGTACGTTCAGCAAGAGATGAAGAATCGTCAACTGAACGTGAGGCTCGTCTCAGTCAGGCACGGAATAGGGTGTGAGGTTCGCTGCAGCCGGTACTGAGATAAAGCGTGAGGCTCGACTCAGTCAGCTTCAAAGACGATCGTATAGTATCAATAGGTACTATGTCAGTAGTGTATGAACATTGCTTGGCATTGAAATTTAAGGATAAGTCGAATGGCATGGGGGGCAAGAAATTCTCCCTCCACCAGAAGCACTTCACTCTCTTCTTACGGGTGATAATCAGAAATCCAAACAATTCATGCGCAATATACGCCGTTATAATAACGCATTTAAGAGTAAGCAAGTCATTGAGCGTGGGTTCATGCTTACACAAATTTCTGCAAATATACGAATCTTGTATTATATTGTAGATCCAGATACACAAGCATCTACGCGGTGTTTTGATAGACAACATCCAAGAGTTAGTCAACAATGTCTGTCCTGACATTGATAACGCAAGTTATAAGACAATATCTTGGTTTAAAGAAAGAGCGATTCTATCACCAACTAACGAACAAGTAGATAAGGTAAATAACTTGATTCTTTCAAAGATTGATGCGCCGACGAAAATATACTACTTGGTCGGTCCTGTTCTCGATTTGGAAGAAGCTGTTTATTTTGCTACAGAATTTCTAAACTCTTAGAATACCTCTTTACAAAATGGTGTTGAAAGTAGGTTGTCCTTTTAAATTAGTAAGAAACATGAATCCACTAAAAACTTTTTTAATAGAGTGCATAATACTCACAGGATGATCGGATTTACCCTTCCAATTTAAACGTTTACAGTTTCCGGTAAAGACATCTTTTACAATGACCATTAATAAGTCGCAGGGACAAACCTTCAACGTTGCAGGCTTAGGCAAATAGGTAAGAATGTAGTACTCCAAAGATTGCAGGAAATCTTCATGGTATAGGGAAAGGGGAATTGTTTTACTCAAAATATAACGCATGCGGGCCACGGGTAATAATGAATAAATCAAATTTACTGGATCGATTTGAATAGTTATTTTAGTGAGTGGCTATATATTTTATACCCGTGCGAAGCCGGAGTGGGCCGCTAATTTTTAATATATAACGTTCACAGTTTTTCAGTAGTGTATTGAGAATCAGCAGTGTACCCGTACGAAAATGGCTCGGGCCGCTAGTAATGCATATAATACCAATATTTATGTACATACTTTTGTCAAACCTTAGACCTTGTTGAATTTGCTCCATATTGACTGGTCCGATTGCTTTGCGCTTAAAGAAAAAAAATGCGTTCCTTATTTCCATTAAATCATCACTTTTATAACACAATATGGCTTTACAATGTTTTCTTTTAATAAATATTAAAGGATGTGAATATTTTAATGTCAAAAGCAGTTGTTTTACAAATCTTCAACAGCAGTGAGGACAGTATAGATTGGTGAATATATTTTACGTATTCTAATCACTTAAAATTTTTGATCGAAACTTGGTATTAAGTGAAGAACTATATCTATATTAAAATTTGATGGAAATAATTCGCTGGGGATGATTTCTTTTTTGGTTATGTTAGTTAATTCGATTCTCTCCTAGGTCGATTGTGAAAAGGGATTTCACTTGGACAGCTATTAACTCCGGTCCGTTATGGCACTTAGAACTCCTATAAAAATTTGTCATAAAGACCTCATAAACCAACATAGCGTCCGAGATATATCTGCCTCAGTCTTGTGAAAGCTGGACAATGGAGGGGAAAATGACCGCATGTTTCCACCTCATCTTCTTCCATACAACTTTTACAATTTGCGTCCGCCGACAATCTCCAGTTAGAACTCCTACGATTTATACAAAAGTGTACTTGGCTAAGGACAAAAACGTTTAGTTGATTTCTTACGTTTTACTCTAGGCCAGAAGGATTGTAGTCGCACAGCCGCTGAACATCGACCAACGCCTGCAAAGCGACGCGAGGTGCATAGGTCCAGTGCAAGAGGCACGATGACAATGGAGATCCGATTCGTACCTACTCCGATGTGAGCAGGTACGGGTGACTAGCTTGTCGGCTAGCTAGTTTACAGTATTCTACTGTGCCAAAGGCACCCAAACGAGTCTGATGATGAGAGTAGCATTATGTTCACTTGACTAACATTGAGCGCAGAGTTAACGAGTTCAATGCCAATATCTGCTGTTAGATTAAATGTTACCTCCCTAAAGAAGCTTTCTATCAAGAATAAGCTCCAGGTATTTTACCTTAGCAACAGGTTAAGGCGAGCCTGGAATAGGGGAGATCTGGGATTTTGTACCCAAGTAAATAAAACCATTATATTTTTACTTGGTTTACAGCTAAGCCGCTTCTATCGCCTACTTGGATACCACGCTGAGGTACTCGTGAGTTAGCTCGTAGACGGTACTTAGAAGAAAGAAACTAAAAGCAACGTCGTGTTACGCAGGCTGTCACCCGACAGGCTCGTTCTTCGAGTTCCTTAAGTAATTCATTATCACCAAGAGCAATGGGAAAAGTATCCCACCATTGTGCACTACCCCACACCGCTATGACCGTTCTGTCACAGAAAAGAACGCTGAGGTTCGATTTCACCTCAAACTTTTCGAAGGCTTTGATCATTGCCTGTGAACGCACATTGCTGAATGCCCCCTCGACGTCGAAAAGCTGCCTACAGAAATTTCTTGTGCATATGAGCTCTTTTGCCATGACACTACATCGAGTAGAGGTATTTATCGATTTGAATTTGCTGTAGGCATGCTGGGCGCTTAAACGTTTACCGGTAGTTTACAATTGCGCCGGAATAATGCCATAAGTGACAGGAATCTTTAAGGGTTTCAATTGACCCAGGTGACGTTCAACCGAAAGGCCCAAGAAGGCTGAACAGTCCTCTCTAAACTCCCCCAGTGGTACTTCTTCAGCCGAGTGGTTCGACGTAAAGTGATCATCTAGGAGTAGCTTCAACGATTGCTCACTGCTCACGGTCCATTTACCATCAGCATTCCATAGATGAGCTAGTGGAGTAGCTTTCCGTGAGGACTAATGACAGGTACACTTTCGCAGGCTCTCTTAGCTTTCTTCACCCAATCGTCTCCAGAGTAAATTCTACGGGGTTTGTTGAAAGGTCTGCTGCTCGAACATCTGATCTCTGTTAGCTCCGATATCCATCAAAGATATTTCTTTTTCCTTTCTGAGTTTTCGAAGAAGAGGAGCTCTCAAGAGTAGTCTTACACGCAAAGCCACGAAGACCTCGACGAGCCACACACGGTGATAAGATCGAGTCTCTGTTGGGTGCGGTTGGAAGAGCTGATCGAAGTTTCTTGCAATATAGGTCCCAATTTGTATTCCTGAAAGTTTTATAGGTTCTGCGTTCTGGGCGTAAAGCATCCAAACTGAATAGAGCGTCTCTGTGATCAGAGGGGGAATGATCGTCTAGAACTTGCCATTCCGAAATTAAGGGAATAATATCCATAGAGGCTAGTGTAACTTGAAGGACCTCCGTTCTGGTAGCAGTCAAAAAAGTGGGGAAGCTCTATTACAAAAAGAAAGGTTTTCACTGCATTTAAATTCAAAAAGTGGCTCACTTCTTGCATTTGTGTCCGAGCTTCCCCCGACGGAGTACCTAAAGCTGACATCCGAGTCAATTATCACGCCGGCTCTTCTTCATCTGGCCTCTACTAGAGCGCTCCTCAGAGATCCGAAGGTAGCTCCACTTCGTCGTCCTGCCGCATGTAGGCTGAGACAAGCCAGAGTTTTCCTGCATAGTTTTGCAGCTTAGTGGGAATGACATGTTCGTTGCTGAAATCAGGTAGAAGAAAGCTTTTAGTTCATTTCTGACCAACAAACAAGTACTGATTCTACCTGTATTACTGGCTGCACAGAGCTTGTGTCTCCTTGTCTTTAAATCAGAAATGCCGTTTTGCTCTTCTCTTCCGTCCCTACTGGAGGCAGCGTGTCATTAGATCTGGCTTTCGTGGGGAGTATTCTGAGGATCACTCTCTCGAAATCATAGCTTTTGGCCTCTTAGAGACACTGAGAGGAGTGAGAGATTCTTTGTTTAGGAGTTTCAGAGATTGCCGATGTGACTTTTCAGTCCTGTCCAGCCTTTTCACTTTCTGGTCTTGGGTGAGAACAGAAGGATTGCAATAACGCAACATCTCCTCGATTTCAACCGGGGTGGAGGTTCGACTGGAAGCTAGACAAGAGCCCGAGACCCTATCGGGAGATCCGTTCATCGGCACATCTTCCATACTGATGTGCCAAGCGGAACTCTTGCACCGCGGCAGTGGCCAAGGATTTCCCCTGACCACCTTCATGAAAACAGAGGAAATAGCAATCGCTACCCGCTTCTACTCCTCATCAGAAATGGTCCCATATTCCTTGCTGCGGTCGAAAACGCCAGGTTCTACTGAGCTGCAAGTTTAGCCAGTTCGTTAAACATTGGAGCCGCTCCAAACCGTGGCGTATTGCCGAAGGAGGATTCCTTTGGGCCCTGGTTGATTCCGCTTTTTCATCGTTCGAGCCACAAAACACCCTTTTGATCCATTCAAGTGTGCTAGCATGCTGCTCAATTCCTGTTTAGCCTGATTGCCACCGTATCACTCAAAAATCTTGGCCGCCAACCTGTTTAGCAGCGATCTATCTTCCGGTAAGGTAAGGCTATAAGATGCCAAGGTTATCTTAGTTACGAGGCCAAGGCGAGGGTTGACGCATGCAATGCATTCAGAGCCGACCACCCGAAAGGAGAAGTCATCTCTATGTATACTTACCACACCAACTTAATGATATGCATAAAAGTAAATAGTAATAAGAATATAAGCATATTAATAGAAAGTAGTCATTTGCTTAATTGTCTTCAAAGCATTAACTTGAAAAAACTGCTTTAAAAATTTTGGTGAATGCTTTTTAAAACAGAAGCGATAGGTAACCGTATATTCATTGACACCAAAATTTCTAACTAATTATCTACTCAAACATGAGCAGACAGTTGCGGTACGTAAAAAGATTAGAAGGGTGTTCTTGGTAGATACTCTAAGTACTTATAAACTTATTACTAATTTCTTATAAACATAAAATTGTGTAATATTCTGCTAATGTATCCGTAAATAAGTTACCTGAGGAGTGAAGTATTAATTTTATTGAAGAAAGCTAAATTTTTTATTTTACATAGTTTAGTCCTATTGTATTAGAACCAGACCAAGGATAAAATTTCCCTGAAAGCAGAGTAGAACTTGGGAGCATACTTTCCAAACCATGACGGACAATCCTATAACACTGTAAATGTTAAAATAATTCATTTATCTATTTTGATAAACTGTTTATAAATATTTAAGTATACCTAGACTAGGAAATTATGAAGTATGAAATTTCTTTGAGCAAACAATTTCGATAGAAACATTCAGAAAATATAAAATACAGATAATCGCGCAAATTACAGCCCTTTGTTAGTTCCAAAATATGTCAGTGCGAGCAAACGAACAATTCAATAAACTCTTCAACATAGTAGCCAACGTCAAAATCCTAAAATTCGCTCAGAAGAACAATATAGGAATACTCAGTTACTTGGGTCCCGGCGGAAAAATATGTACCGTTACAGAGGAACACAACGTCGGCAGCTTAGTACGAGGGGCAAAAGGGAAGAAGTTTTGAAACAGAGACGTCGTCAGCAGAGTCAGATCCGCCTTCTTAGAGGCAATTTATTCAATCGACAAATTGAAAACGAAAGGCAGTTCCAACGAATGAGGTTAAGGAGAGAAAATAATGTAAAAAAAACTGATTAAACAGATCTCAGAAATGTTTATTTTGAAAATATAAAGAATGGTCCGGCCGAAATATGTACTTGCTGTGACGGATTAAAGTTTTCATAGTACAATAAATAATAATTTCAAAACTATTGCTCAAGGTCATCCGAATGCTGCATCACCTCTTTTTGATGCACAAGATAGATTTTAGAAATACTATATGGTTGGAGGATTTAAACCCAATTGAAGAACGGCTAATAATGCCTAGTTGTCCTTTAGGAAAATTCGTCCTTGGTGTCCTTGATATTTGTTAAAAGTTCCTGTTTTTAATATTCCCACTCCTGTTAATAATATTGGGACATCTCTACCGAGGTCCTTTGATGAGACTCATGTGATACAAATTCACTTAAGAAGGCATTTGGGCTTTAATATCGATTATGTGACTGATACAATACGTCCCGCAAAGAATATGGAAAGCTCGCATTTCTTAGTGAATATTCGTCTGTAATCTAAGCGCAAAATACAAATTAATGAGGATTTATGAATTTAATAATCAGAAAAAGTTATTTTTGTTGCATCTGCCTGGAATTGTTTTACTCAAAATATAACGTATGCGGGCCACGGGTAATAATGAATAAATCAAATTTACTGGATCGATTTGAATAATTATTTTAGTGAGTGACATAGGCATACCATTTATACCCGTGCGAAGCCGGAGTGGGCCGCTATGTTTTAATATATAACGTCCACAGTTTTTCAGTAGTGTATTGAGAATCAGCAGTGCACCCGTACGAAAATGGCTCGGGCCGCTAGTAATGCATATAATACCAATATTTATGTACATACTTTTGTCAAACCTTAGACCTTGTTGAATTTGCTCCATATTGACTGGTCCGATTGCTTTGCGCTTAAAGTAAAAAAAATGCGTGCATTATTTCCATTAAATCATCACTTTTATAACACAATATGGCTTTGCAATTTTTTCTTTTAATAAACATTAAAGGATGTGAATATTTTAATGGCAAAAGCAGTTGTTTCACAAATCTTCAACAGCAGTGAGGACAGTATAGATTGGTGAATATATTTTACGTATTCTAATCACTTAAAATTTGATGGAAATAATTCGCTGGGGATGATTTCTTTTTTTGGTTATGTTAAGTTAATTCGATTCTCTCTCCTAGGTCGATTGTGAAAAGAGGATTTCACTTGGACAGCTGTTAACTCCGGTCCGTTATGGCACTTAGAACTCCTATAAAAATTTGTCATAAAGACCTCATAAACCAACATAGCGTCCGAGATATCACTGCCGAGATATATCTGCCTCAGTCTTGTGAAAGCTGGACAATGGAGGGGAAAATGACCGCATGTTTCCACCTCATCTTCTTCCATACAACTTTTACAATTTGCGTCCGCCGACAATCTCCAGTTAGAACTCCTACGATTTATACAAGATGTACTTGGCTAAGGACAAACAGTTTAGTTGATTTCTTACGTTTTACTCTAGGCCAGAAGGATCTGGTAGTCGCACAGCCGCTGAACATCGACCAACGCCTGCAAAGCGTACGCGAGGTGCATAGGTCCAGTGCAAGAGCGCACGATGACAATGGAGATCCGATTCGTACCTACTCCGATGTGAGCAGGGTACGGGTGACTAGCTTGTCGGCTAAGCTAGTTTACAGTAATTCTACTGTGCCAAAGGCACCCAAACGAGTCTGATGATGAAGTAGCATTATGTTCCTTGACTAACATTGAGCGCAGAGTTAACGAGTTCAATGCCAATATCTGCTGTTAGATTAAATGCTTACCTCCCTGAAAGAAGCTTTCTATCAAGAATAAGCTCCAGGTATTTTACCTTAGCAACAGGTTAAGGCGTGAGCCTTGGAAATAGGGGAGATCTGGGATTTTGTACCTCCAAGTAAATAAAACCATTATATTTTTTACTTTGGTTTACAGCTAAGCCGCTTCTATCGCCTACTTGGATACCACGCTGAGGTACTCGTGAGTTAGCTCGTAGACGGTACTTAGAAGAAAGAAACTAAAAGCAACGTCGTGTTACGCAGGCTGTCACCCGACAGGCTCGTTCTTCGAGTTCCTTAAGTAATTCATTATCACCAAGAGCAATGGGAAAAGTATCCCACCATTGTGCACTACCCCACACCGCTATGACCGTTCTGTCACAGAAAAGAACGCTGAGGTTCGATTTCACCTCAAACTTTTCGAAGGCTTTGATCATTGCCTGTGAACGCACATTGCTGAATGCCCCCTCGACGTCGAAAAAGCTGCCTACAGAAAATTTCTTGTGCATATGAGCTCTCTTCTGCCATGACACTACATCGAGTAGAGGTATTTATCGATTTGAATTTGCTGTAGGCATGCTGGGCGTTTAAACGTTTACCGGTAGTTTACAATTGCGCCGGAATAATGCCATAAGTGACAGGAATCTTTAAGGGTTTCAATTGACCCAGGTGACGTTCAACCGAAAGGCCCAAGAAGGCTGAACAGTCCTCTCTAAACTCCCCCAGTGGTACTTCTTCAGCCGAGTGGTTCGACGTAAAGTGATCATCTAGGAGTAGCTTCAACGATTGCTCACTGCTCACGGTCCATTTACCATCAGCATTCCATAGATGAGCTAGTGGAGTAGCTTTCCGTGAGGACTAATGACAGGTACACTTTCGCAGGCTCTCTTAGCTTTCTTCACCCAATCGTCTCCAGAGTAAATTCCGATATCCATCAAAGATATTTCTTTTTCCTTTCTGAGTTTTCGAAGAACAGGAGCTCTCAAGAGTAGTCCTACACGCAAAGCCACGAAGACCTCGACGAGCCACACACGGTGATAAGATCGAGTCTCTGTTGGGTGCGGTTGGAAGAGCTGATCGAAGTTTCTTGCAAATAGCCAATTGTATCTCTGAAAGTTTTATAGGTTCTGCGTTCTGGGCGTAAAGCATCCAAACTGAATAGAGCGTCTCTGTGATCAGAGGGAATGATCGTCTAGAACTTTCCATTCCGATTAAGGGAATATATCCATAGAGGTAGTGTAACTTAGAGGACCTCCGTTCTGGTAGCAGTCAAAAAGTGGGAGAAGCTCTATTACAAAAGAAAGGTTTTCACTGCATTTAAATTCAAAAGTGGCTCACTTCTTGCATTTGTGTCCGAGCTTCCCCGACGGAGTACCTAAAGCTGACATCCGAGTCAATTATCACGCCGGCTCTTCTTCATCGCTCTCTAGAGCGCTCCTCAAGATCCGAAGGTAGCTCCACTTCGTGTCCTGCCGCATGTAGGCTGAGACAAGCCAGAGTTTTCCTGCATAGTTTTGCAGCTTAGTGGGAATGACATGTTCGTTGCTGAAATCAGGTGAAGAAAGCTTTTATTCATTTCTGCACAACAAACAAGTACTGATTCTACCTGTATTACTGCTGCACAGAGCTTGTGTCTCCTTGTCTTTAAATCAAGAATGCCGTTTTGCTCTTCTCTTCCGTCCCTACTGGAGGCAGCGTGTCATTAGATCTGGCTTTCGTGGGGAGTATTCTGAGGATCTCTCTCAAATCATAGCTTTGGCCTTGAGACTGAAGAGTGAGATTTGTTTAGGAGTTCTGGTTAGAGTGTGACTTTTCAGTCCTGTCCAGCCCTCACTTTGGTCTTGGTGAGAACAGAAGGATTGCAATAAAATCTTGCATTCAACCGGGGTGGAGGGTTGCACTGGACTAGCAAGAGCCCGAACGCTAGCGGAGATCGTTCATCGGCACATCTTCCATACTGATGTGCCAAGCGGAACTCTTGCACCCGGCAGTGGCCAAGGATTTCCCCTGACCACTTTCATGAAAACGAGGTAGCAATCGCTACCGCCTCTACTCCTCATCAGAATAGGCTCCATATTCCTTGCTGCGGTCGAAACGCCAGGTTCTACTGACTGCGCAAGTTTAGCAGCGTTCGTATTAATTGGAGCCGCCCAAACCGTGGCGTATGCCGAAGGAGGATTCCTTTGGGCCCTGGTTGATTCCGCTTTTTCATCGTTCGAGCCACAAACACCCTTTTGATCCTTCAGTGTGCTGCATGCTGCTCAATTCCTGTTTAGCCTGATTGCCACCGTATCACTCAAAATCTTGGCCCCAACCTGTTTAGCAGCGATCTATCTTCCGGTAAGGTAAGCTATAAGATGCCAAGGTTATCTATTCGAGGCAAGAGGGGTTGACGCATGCAATGCATTCAGAGCCGACCACCCGAAAGGAGAAGTCATCTCTATGTATACTTACCACACCAACTTAATATAATAATAAGTAATGATATAAAGATAATAAGCATTAATAGAAAGTAGTCATTTGCTTAATTGTCTTCAAAGCATTAACTTGAAAAAACTGCTTTAAAAATTTTGGTGAATGCTTTTTAAAACAGAAGCGATAGGTAACCGTATATTCATTGACACCAAAATTTCTAACTAATATCTACTCAAACATGAGCAGACAGTTGCGGTAGTAAAAAGATTAGAAGGGTGTTCTTGTAGATACTCTAAGTACTTATAAACTTATTACTAATTTCTTATAAACATAAAATTGTGTAATATTCTGCTAATGTATCCGTAAATAAGTTACCTGAGGAGTGAAGTATTAATTTTATTGAAGAAAGCTAAATTTTTTATTTTACATAGTTTAGTCCTATTGTATTAGAACCAGACCAAGGATAAAATTTCCCTGAAAGCAGAGTAGAACTTGGGAGCATACTTTCCAAACCATGACGGACAATCCTATAACACTGTAAATGTTAAAATAATTCATTTATCTATTTTGATAAACTGTTTATAAATATTTAAGTATACCTAGACTAGGAAATTATGAAGTATGAAATTTCTTTGAGCAAACAATTTCGATAGAAACATTCAGAAAATATAAAATACAGATAATCGCGCAAATTACAGGCTTTGTTAGTTCCAAAATATGTCAGTGCGAGCAAACGAACAATTCAATAAACTCTTCAACATAGTAGCCAACGTCAAAATCCTAAAATTCGCTCAGAAGAACAATATAGGAATACTCAGTTACTTGGGTCCGGCGGAAAAATATGTACCGTTACAGAGGAACACAACGTCGGCAGCTTAGTAGAGGGGCAAAAGGGAAGAAGTTTTGAAACAGAGACGTCGTCAGCAGAGTCAGATCGCCTTCTTGGAGGCAATTTATTCAATCGACAAATTGAAAAAACGAAAGGGCAGTTCCAACGAATGATTAAAGAATGGTCCGGCCGAAATATGTACTTGCTGTGACGGATTAAAGTTTTCATAGTACAATAAATAATAATTTCAAAACTATTGCTCAAGGTCATCCGAATGCTGCATCAGCCTCTTTTTGATGCACAAGATAGATTTTAGAAATACTATATGGTTGAGGATTTAAACCCAATTGAAGAACGGCTAATAATGCCTAGATTGTCCTTTAGGAAAATTCGTCCTTTGGGTGTCCTTGATATTTGTTAAAAGTTCCTGTTTTTAATATTCCCACTCCTGTTAATAATATTGGGACATCTCTACCGAGGTCCTTTGATGAGACTCATGTGATACAAATTCACTTAAGAAGGCATTTGGGCTTTAATATCGATTATGTGACTGATACAATACGTCCCGCAAAGAATATGGAAAGCTCGCATTTCTTAGTGAATATTCGTCTGTAATCAAGCG